GCTAGATATTAAATGGTAAGAAGAAACCAAATATTTATTAGGCACTAAGAATACTGACTGAAATCAATCAAGATTCCTTCCTCAATAAACATGACAGAAACACTCTAAAATAACCCTTGTCAACCCAGGTTCCATAAGAGATTTAAGTTCCAATGCCCCAAGGCAGCTATTATAGGTAGTGAATCAATTTCTCTTCTGTGCATCCAGATGGCACTATCTATGTCATACTTGCAAAAAATTAGAAAATAGTTATTTAAATGGTTTTCTGTAGGTCTGACCTTTTACCCCACCCCCTGCTTCCTGATTGCCAAGAGCCGAGCAGCTTGTCTCTTCCATGCCCTTCTGCCAGGTGTGCTGCCTCCCCTCAGACCCAAAGAGATGGAGTGGCTGACCATGGACTCCAACCTCTGAAACTGTGAGCCAAAATCAATCTTTGCTCCTCAAAGCTGTTCTTGACAGGTAGTTTGGTCACAGGGACAAGAAGCTGACTAACACACTCTTAGACACCAAGCTTCCTTCACAAGAGAAGAGTCAAGGGAAGAAGGGAGAAAGCCGTGAGGAAAGGCAGAAGTCACCCAGTCTGCACCCTCCATTCAAGTGAGTGTCAAGAGATCGAGAACCTATAATTCTAACCAACACCCCCATCCTAATTATCTATTAGGCAGGATTTATAGGTTTGCTGTGATCTGAAGTTTGTGTGCCCCTAACCAGAAGTACTGCTGTATTTCTGTCTGAGCCTTCACAGATCACAATGGGGAGGGAATGCTTTAGTCACATGTCATGAGTGTGGCTACTCCATAAAGGAAAGGCTTGTTCATGCCAACATGGTAGACTGCACGGGGGGCTGACAACCTGTGTGCTCTTCAAACAAGGCAGATCATGCAGTGTGGCAAAAAAAGTATCCCTCATAGCCAAAACCACAAAGCCAACGAGTGTTCAACAAGACTGCTATTTATTATTCATCCTCTGAAAGACTAAGGAATAAAAAAATGTACTAAGCCACACCTGGAAAAGTCACGGTAAAGTGGCATGCCAGAGCTTGATGGAAGAATTACAAAAGAGATGGGGAGTCACGTGTGCTAATCTAAATCACCCCACCTCAGGACTGAGGACTTTCATTATTCCTCAAGCAGTGGCCTCTTATAATCCCACTTTCTCTAATAAAACCTTCCTAACAGAAGCCTTATAAACCAAAAGCTTAAAATATATATTATTAAGTGTGCTTATTGCTGCATATGCACATATGCTTGTATGTAAGCACATACAAGTGTGTTTTAATGTATTTGTTCCTATTACTCTTTTCATTTTTAGATTTTAAATCCTGGAAGACAGAGACCATGTCTAACTTATTTAACAATCTCCCAGAATCTGACCACAAACCTCATGAGGTTACAATAAGCCCTATTTACTGCCGACATTAACTAGTTTTAAAAAGAAATTCATAGAAAGCTATGTTTCAAACATAACTTCATATTTGGGAATTTGGGGTTTCTCTACTTCAAAGCAAAAACAACACCTTGTTATAAAACTTTTGCATAGTTGCCAAGATAATGAAGTTGGAGGAATCTCTTTTCCAGGAAAAAGAGTCATACATTAGGATTAATAGGTACCTTGGTTCCCAATCATGTTTCTCCTTCAAGATTGCACTTCTAAAGAGGAGACAAACTAAATACCAGCGATCTACTAGGATGCTTTCTGGGGGAGATTAGGAAACTGACCATAACAAAAACTAGATGCAAGTCCTCCTGAAGGGAAGACACTGGCACAGGGCAGGCCCTAATCAGATTACAGAGGGTCAACCAACTCACTGCATGTGATAATCAAAGAACAATGAAGATTTGTATAAATAATCAAACCTCAACTACAAAAGTGTCAAATTTATAAACCTTACTCAAATACTTATTTATGATTCTAGTAAAATATAAGGTAGGTATCAAGAGGGCAGCCATCCCATAAAGCAGACAGAACTATAGTTTTTCGGACAATGTGGAAGATGGTATTATTTTCTATAGCTTCTGACATACAGGTCTCCCTTAAATGGTGTTAAGAGAAATCTAAAGTTTCCCATGGTTTGTAAAAGATAGACACATAGAGCCTTTTGTGGATGTGGAAGCTGAAGGGAACTGTCTGATCTTGGTGGAAAATTAGCCATTCAAAAGCTTATTTTGGGCTTCTTAATTGGCTTGTACCATTTCTTTGACAAAAAGAATGCCTTAAATTTATCCCTCAGTTTATAAAAGAGGAAATAAAACTTTTTAACTCCAAAACAGATCATGAGGCTCCAGTGCTTGACCTGGGTTGACAAATGGTGCTGTCTTTTCAACTGGCTGCCCTAAAACCCCCTAGTAACAAGTCAAGTTTCCAGATGCTCCTTGCTTTTAATGAAGGAATAAACTAAAAAGTTGTGGATACAAATGCAAATGTCATTTAGTTCAACTCTCTACCTCAAAATTAGGTTAAGTACAGGTATAATAATGTGGTTATTTGTCATTCAACAGAAAATTTCTCCACAAAAATAAAAGGAAATGGAAATTTTCAATTTAATGAAAAGATTAACCTTATACCAGAGTAAGGAGATGCATTTGGAAACACATATTTTCAAAATTTCCCCCCAAAGACATCCATCTCCCAACCTCTGTAGAGAAATTATTCTATTGAATAATATCACATCAATCCAGCCACTAAAGTAAAATACAAATGTTAAAATAAAACAAGTTAGTCATGAGCATTCCCGAGAAAAATACAAGGAAACCAAAAATTTTCCCAAGGGAAAAAGCATAAAAAATATAATGGGAAACAATACTTTGAAAGAAAATCCACTTTGTTGTGACCACTTTCAGAATCCCGTGATCCATTATGATGACATGCACCCTACCGTATGCAGCTCAGATGCAGAGGGGCCATCTGGGAGGCTCACTTCCCCTCCACGTCAACGGCTATAATGTGGCTCAACATCTGCAAGTCAGCAGCACCGAGCCCTTATCACCAGAGCTCAGGACCCACCAAACTCATTTTGCTCCTCTGAACTAACCAGAAAACAACTGTTTTCCATCCTTCTTCATAGTTTTTTCCTACTGTTATTTCCAATTTTAAGATTTGCTAATAAAGTATGCATAAACAGTCAGTGAATGCACAAAATTCTTATCCTTACTTTTCCTTTGTAGTACTGAGGATCTAAGTCAGAGCACTTTCACACTGGGCAAAATCACTAGCCCTTTTGATTTTTTTATTTTGAGACAGGGTCTTGCTAAGTTGCCAAGACTAACCTCAAACTCGTGACCTTCCTGCCTCAGCCTTCTGAGTCACTGGAATTACAGGCATACACCACCATAGCCAATAAAAATTCCTGTTTTATTTCCACCTTCAAGTGGGCTCTCTTGAATAAAGGATTAAGTAAGAAAAAGAGAACTTGGAAGCCCACTGAAGTTGAAGTACACACAAAACAACTCTCAGTCAAGATTCTTTATTTCTACTACTGTTTTTTTTTTTTTGCAATGCTTTCTGTCAAGTCCCACCACTTTGCCTGAGAACAGGTTCCTCATGGCTCCACTGGCCACCACTTATCTGCCTCATGTGAAGGCCGCTGTGGCACAGGGCCTGGCGGGCTTTATTTCAACCTTTATTCTTATTGGTATCAACAGGACATAGGGTTGGGGAAGTGTCCTCAACCCTCCAACATTTACTGAGCATTCACTCTAGCCTAAGTATAGCTCTGCTTCTCAGCAGGGCACAGGGGATTTGAAGGTCTATAGGCAGGTCTGGTCTAGGAAGTCTGGCAAAGGTGGCTCTGAACTGCCATGCTGAAAGGACCTCAGGTAGGTGCAGTCCCCTCCACCCTTGGCTCTTGGGCCAGCTCCTGCTGCTCTCGGTCCAGCTGATGCAGCTGTGGTTCCACGACTTCAGGCACCTGCACCTCCAGCAGGTTTTCCATGCCACATTCTGGCTCATCTCTAATTAGCACCTGGATGAGCTTTTCACATCAGGCTCCGGTTCCCAGCTATGCAGCTCTTGAAGGTCAGGTAGGTTCCCTGATCCTGCACCTGCTGCCGCCCAGGTGCAGTGGCTGTCAGCAGCATGATGGCTTCAATGAGCATCTTGCGGATGTCGGCATCAGGTTCACGCTGCTTCTCTGGTGGCAGGTACTGCAGGTCAACAGGCAACCGGTTCATCTCTTCCTCCGAGACATCCTCAGGCCCAGCCAGGGGCAGTAGCAAGAAGAGAATAATGTTGACTTCAGGCCCAAGCAACCACTCATGGTGTTGGTGCTCAAAGCAGCAATTCCGTAGCATTCCTACCACCCCCCGACTGTGCACTGAGGAGTCTGAATGCTGGATAAGGGGCAGCAGCCGCTGGACCACGCACCTGGGTTGGCTCTTCCGCATGGCGATCGGCCCGGGCACCCAAGCCAAGCGGTGGCTGGGCTGCGGGATCTCAGCCCCCTGCCGGGGCCACAGCACGGCCCACCAGAGCTATTTCTACTACTGTTAACACTGTTTAAATTCTATGCTTATGTCCAAATTTATGCTTATTTTTGTCCAGAATTAAAATATGCATTGTTTGGAATGTTTTCTTGAGATCTTATTTCATTTACTATTCAAAAACCAAAAAGTCTTAGCCCTCCTGATTTCAAAAAAAGAGAGAGAGAACATTAGCTTACAAGTATCTACCCATTTAAACCTATAACTTTAAAAATTACTCTCCAAAATAAAATCTTTTGTGAAAAGGGGATGATTATAAACCAAATCGTAAAATTCCTATCCTGTTCTCATAGGATCATTATCATGATCTTCATGCATAAAGGGCATGCTCAGAATAGAGGTCATCATTCCACTGAATGAATCTGTATTGGAGAAAAACCGATGCGGTTAGTAAGGCAGGTAAAACTAACTTCAACTGCATCAGAGCCTACCAGTCTCAGCAAACCCACAATTCTTGGTGAACTGAGAAAACACAGAGACTACCAGAGGGTGTCTACCAGAACAGGCAGTCACATTACTCACCTTGTGTAAAGGGAGCACCAGGAATGCTCCACCCCCACTCGCTTCTACGATTATGGCAACGAATCTGGGATTAACAGCACAAAAGGAACTATCCCAGGTCACACGAGAAACTCGGATGTCATCGTAGCACTGGTCATTTTTCACTGCTTGTCCAAATACATGCCGAAACTTGCTCTGCCGTACCACTCGCCTCATCGTGTCTGTAGAAGAAGAGCAAGAATTATGTGGCAAACTGAAACTTTTACAAATGAAAAAAAAAATAAAGCCCCAAGTTAGAAAAACAAAATGGTATGGTATTTTGTTTGCTCTCCAAAAAAATAGCCAGGTTGCAAATCCAAATTTCCTTTAGCAGCACATACCCGAAGAAAACTGTAAAATGCGTCAAGGAAAGAATTACAAAGAAATGAAAAATTCCTAATCCAAGATCCAGAGCAGCTCATCAATTTTAATTTCAGGAGAAAGATTAAAGTGAAGAATGAAGGAAAATTAGTTTTTCATGACTCGGTGGGAAATGATGGATGATCACTCCAACCCTCACCCCTTTCAAAGATATGAAAACTCCCAAGTTAAGTGGTCTGGTAGCTGTGAGCTGAAGAAAATCCAAAAACAAGCTTTGATTTCGTGGCTTTCTCCTCAGTCTGCCAAGGTAATTTTTTAGTTTTTAAACATTTTCCCCAGACATCAGCACTCTGCTGTCTGAAAAGTGTGCCTGCTTCCCAGGATTTCCATGAGACCAACTAGGCACAGTGGAGAATTCTAGAGACAGAAGCAACCACCCTGTCTTCAAGAGCTTTCTAACCTCCTTTTAAGTCAGGCAAATAATCAAAGCAACTCAGGACAAACTGCCTAGAGCTGAGGGCCACATGGTGAGAAGAGGGAGGCAGGGGAAGGCAGCCCAATGGGTCTTAGAAAGAGAAGTATTTCAAAAAAAGTAAAGCAACCAAAGCCATGTTTAGGATGACCGTAAGTCTGGCAGTAGCATAGTGGAGGAATTAGACAGGAAGAAGCTAACTAGGTACTGGCCTAGGCAGCTGTGACAACAAACCAGAACTGGAATGACATGACTGTTAGCACTTGGAGGAAATGAAAAATGCAGGAACCATTCTGAGGAGAAATGAAACCAGGATGGGTTTTCACATCAGAGTTTATCATTCACCATACTCATTTCCCAATAAACCAGGGAATGAGGGTGGGGGTGACAAAGCCAGGTTGCTCAGCTTCCAGGTGCATCATTTCAGACTCCAGATTCCACTGGACAGCCTGGTACACACGTGCATTGAAAGCTCTGACCAAGGCTTCTTAGACTGCACTTGATGTAATTTTCCTACCTGCGGCCATGCGACATTCTGTTCAAATTGGTTAGGAACATGGATAAGACCTATGAGGAACTGGAACATGGCAAATCAACAACTCAGCTGAAAACCAGACCCCCACATACGCAGGAGAGCTAGCACCTGTCCCGCATGCCACTGGCACATGGCGGGCTTTTGCTGGTTCCCTTCCTCATGGCCCTGGACCCAATGCTAAATTCAAAGAGAGAGCATTTATTTTCGCCAGAGCTTCCATTTACCCTTCCAAGACATGTGCACAAGTGGCCTCTCTCCAGCACTGGGGCATGTGGCTGGGCTGAGGCAATAGGCCCTTGGCAGGCAAACTGAGCACCCGTGCTCCTCAGTTCAGCTGTTGTTGCTAGCTTTTTCCGGCTGACACCCAGGACCATACATTTGGAGTACTCGGTAGAGGGGATGGCAAATGACATGCTTACATCTGGCCAGGGTCCTTCTCGAAAATGAGTTAGGTAAGACAGAGTCCATGAGGTGGTGAAAACCAGAAGGAAAGCACATCCATACAGAGGCTGGCGAACAACCAGCTGGTCTCAGATGCCATCTCCCTACATACAGCCACCTGCAGGTTATAAACGCTGGAATCCCTACCAGCAATAAAGTAAGTTACCAAGGAAGAAAAAGGACTGCACTGTGTCTGCGTCAATATCCTTCATATATAAAAAGTTCTTACGAATTTATACAAATAAAAGCCAATAGAAAAATTAAGCAAGACATGAAGAGTTAATTTACAGAAATATAAAATGGATTCACCACCTTCCTAAAAATCCTAATAAGCAGTAATAAAGTGACAATAAAAGAACCAAAGAAGTATAAATACCAAAGGTCAATAGAACAGGAAAGGAGCCTGAAAGAAGGCAAATGTGACAACAAAATCTTGGAAAATGCAAAGTTGCAGTGCATGTGTGTGTCCACCATTCAGCTGACTGTCTCAGGAAGAGAAGCCAAGGCGCACGGTGAATTCCCAGGACACCCAGAAGAGAAACTGTTTCGAAAGGACAGAATTGACTGAAAGTCTGAGTTAAGAGAAGCTCGATACCCAGATCCCCTCCCTCCAGGGCAGTCATGGAACTGGCGCATTAGAGGCACACTGACACACTGGTTCTGTAGTGAGGCCTCCAGCCCATTGTTCCTCCTCACTCCAACAACCAGACCTCAACCAGGAGGATATCAGACTTCACCTTAGTGACAAGGTCCACCACTCAAAGGGCCCCTCTACCCACAGGGGTATCAGGTCAGCTTTTAAAGCATTTTAAAATGTGAATGGAAATTAGAGGAAGGCTTCTACGTTGAAAAACAGAGACATTTTTTCTTCTTCACTGAAATGAACCAGATACCATCTAACCCCACAAGATTAAAATAAATGTGAAAAAATGCTGATGATCTTCTTTGAAAGATAATACACAACTCTGCTGGTTGACTTACTAAAATGCCCTAAAAATCATTTCCACATCATGCATAGTGACAACTTATTTTCACCCTAACTACATCTGGGTAGAATAATAGAGAGGTTCTTTTGTTACAATTATGAAGTAGAATGTTAGTTGCAGAGCTGAGAAAGGGGGTGGAGGCGCCAATGCTTCCAGCTTTGTGCTGAATCAGACATGTGGAAACGCAGCTGAAGACCAGTGTGAGCCCATTCCCATCCAAGGTCAAAACTGCTCTGGGCTCAGCTGTCCACATGTGACACAGCTGTTTTTGTTGCACAGAATGTCTCAGGCCCTCCAGGCACATAATAGAGAATAGCAATTAAGAGAGCAAACTGCAGAAGCAGACAGCCTCCTGAGTGAGGCTGTATCGTTTACTTCCTGGCCATGGTTCATTAGAGCAAGTCACTGAATCTCCATGTCAGATTCTCTATTAGAATGTAGGCATGATGTATATAAAGCTGAAGTGATTATTAAGTGAGCACTTGGTGATGCAACAGAGTGGCAATAGATTACTATGACATAGCATTCAGTACAGTCAGATACACAAAACTAATCATGCAATAAATGCCAACTGTTTTCATCTTAGTAATTAACATAAAACACTGGACTCTGCCACTTGTTGCAAATTACTTAACCTCTCTGAGCCTCAGTTTGCTTATCTATAAAATGAAGGGAATGATACCCAAAACAAGGAATTAAACCAATACCTGATTAGGCCAGGTCCAAATGGCTTCACCACTAAAATCTATCAAACATTTACAGAACACCAATTCTTCACAAATTCTCCCCACCCCTCCCCAAGAGGGAAGGCTTCAAAATGAATTGTATAAGGCCAGTATTTTTTTTTGTAGTAGCGTGAGTTTTATTTTTCCATGAAAAAAGTTTAACATAGTTTTGTACATAAGTAAAAAGATATGCAAGTCAAGTACAAAGAAATCCCAGATCCCCCTCATCCAGTTTCTCCAATTGAATAATGTACTACATTGCCTGCCCCCACCTTTACATTGTGTGATTTGTAAAGAAGAGGGCAAAGTCCACTTTTATTCCTAATACCATGGGAATAGTATCAACAGGAGTATAAGGCCAGTATTACCTTAACAGCCAAACAAAGACATCACAAGAAAACTACAGACCAACATCTCTCATGAATATGAATGGAAAAATCCTCAATGATACACTAGCAAAACAAATCCAACAATTGATAAAGGAATTCTAGCCAGGTATGGTTGCCATGTCTGTAATCCCAATTATTCCAGAGGTTGAGGCAGGAAGACTGACAATTCTTTAAGATTGGGCAACTTAGCAAGAATTTCTCTCAAAATAAAAATAATGGGGATGTAATTCAGTGGTAGAACACTTGCCTAGTATGTACAAGGCCCTGGATTCAATCGCCAGTACCACTAAAAAATGAGAATAAAAATAAAATATATCCCACAAAATTACCATATGACTCAGCCAACTCCACTCCTAGGTATATACTCAAAAGAACTGAAAACAGGTAATCAAACAAATACGTACACACAGATGTTCACATTATTCACAATGGCAAAAGAATCAAATGTTGATTATTCATTGGGCAAAACATTCCAAACAAACAAGAACTCCTTTTTCTTTCTTTCTTTTTTTTTTTTTTTTTTTTGGTCCTGGGTCTTGGGTACTGACCCCAGGGGAGCTTAACCATTGAACTACATCCCTAGTCTCCCTTTTATGTTTTATTTTGAGGCAGGGTCTCACTAAGTTACTGAAGCTAGCCTGGAACTTGCAGTCCTCCTACCTCAGCCTCCCGAGTCGCTGGGATCACAGGCATCCAACACAACACCCAGCTCCCTTCTTCTTAAGAGGCTGTCTACACTGTCAAATGGTATTACTGTTGCAATAATTAATTTTTAAAAATGTGAAGCTATAATTTCCAAATTAAGATGTCATCTCACCAAATTTAGGTGTTTTTATTTTATTTCCAGAAGTACTGAGGAATAAACCCAGGGGTGCTTTACCACAAAACCCAGTCCTTTTTAATTTTGAGACAGCATCTTGCTAAATTGTTGAGGCTGTCCTTAAACTTGAGATCCTTCTGCCTCAGCCTCCCGAGGTGCTGGGATAATAGGAATATACCACAGCATCTTAATGGGTGTTCTTTTATTAGACGTTCCATCCCAGACTGATTAAACCACAAAACTAAAGAATCCCCCCAAAACTAAAGACTGTTAAGGGAATCTAATTTTCAATAATATCAAAAATAAATAAAAAAATTCTGAGCTAATACAATAGGCACAAAGTCCTAGGACATGCTAGGTTCAATTTCAATTGTCCTCTCAGAGAACAGTTCAACCTTGGAGAAGCTGCCTGCTCATGAGGCCTCTCAAGTTTAAACTCTTAAAACTGAGTAGGGCCTTTTCTTTGTAACTGTAGCACCATCTCAGTAACAAA